ACCCCTTTGAACTGGCCAATAGAAGCTTCACTGTTCCTCCATTGTAAATTGATACCCATTAACATTAATATATGTTAAGAACTCCTTTGCACCTGTAGTAGGAACCAGCATAGACTAAGCCCCCCCCCCCTTACTATTTAGTTTTCTCCAAGTAATTAATGGAAAGAGATCTTAGATACCTATGGATTTTCTTTGATGGAAACTTTCAGATCCAAGATTTGAAAAGGAACTAACAAAAAGAGAATAAGCCATCACAGCCAAACAATCTGTTTCCAATAATCTGATAAGGTGAGAAGCAACAGCTAGAATTCCTTTCCTTCACGGCTAAAGACCCTGAAGGCATCAGGACTTGTTTGATCTTGGAAATTAATCAGGGTTAGTACTTGGATTGGAAACCACCAAAAATATCAGGTGTGATGGGTTCTATTTCAGAGGAAGGAATTGTAAACCATATTGGAGTTGATCATGCCTAAGAAAACCCTATGATATTCATGGAGTTGGTACAGGTTGACAGGAGACTTGATGTCACATACACCTATACATGGGAGCTGTACCTAGAGCAGTGGTTCTCAACCTTTTTTGACCAGGAATCACTTGACTAGGGGCCAATTGACCAAGGACCACTTTGACAAGAGACTATTCTCCAACATTAGTACCAAAAGGGTTACAAATCAGTTTTTGGTCAATTTTAGATTTGGGTTGGTTATTTGGGGTGCTGATTCAGAAAACTGCATTGGAAAGACCACATCAGCTGTAGTTTCTGATATAGAACATATGCCATCCAGTTGTCGCCATCTGCTCGCCCACAGAAAACCATATTTAATAAGCCTCGGCACTATAAGAGGGTTTCATGAGACCAGTCACTCTCGTTGCAATGGTATAGAAATGGTGATGCTACCGACCATATTTTAGTTCTTGTGGGCCACTGGTTGACGGACCACAGGCTGGGAACCACTGACCTACAGCAAGATTTCTGATACCATGGCGGGAACATGTTTTCAGAATTGTTGTTTAGCTGCTTCCCTGCCATTTCCTTATTTCCCCTACATATTTGTTTTTCATTTAAAAAAGAAATGTTCTTATTCAGTCTTATTTTGTTTTAAGTCTAGCCAGGTTTGCTTTCATCTCAGCTTTCACCCACAAACTATTTCTCTTTTCTTAAGGTGGGTTCAAGGAAAACCTTAACTTGCTTTGCATCCCCAGGTAGTAGGGCTGGGCGGTTTCGTTCGTTAATTTCGTAATTCGTTAATAATTCGTTATTTTTCTTGATAACAAAGCGATAACAAACCATTCAGGAGCAACTAAAAAACGAAACGAATTTTTAAAGCTATTTCGTAATTGTTTTGTAATTGTTTCGTTATTATTTCCGTATGTCTGGTGCAAGTTTTATAGTTGTTTCCCTCCCCTCTCCCTGGTTGGGAAGCGTTGTCAAACCAGAATAGAGATCTCACCCCTCCTCTCTCTCTCTTTCCCCCCTCTTTCCTTCTCCAGGTTAAAACTATTATATTTATTATTATTATTATATTATTATTATTATTATTATTAAGAATGGATGGCCATCTTTCAGTAGTGCTTTGTGCCTTACATGCAGGAAGGCAGAAAGTGGTTTGTTATAATAATAATAATAATAATAATAATTATTATTATTATTATTATTATTATTGAGAAGCATTGTCAAACCAGAATAGAGATCTCACCCCTATTATTTTCAGTTGCGCAACCGCGTCCGCCATTTTAACGAATTGATTCGTTAATATTAACGAAATTTCGTAAATATCAAACTTTTTAAAAGGAAAAATTCGGAATTCTTTTAAATATCGAAACGCAAAAAACCCCAAAAAACGAATCGATTTTAGAAACAAATTTTTCCGTTGTTACCCAGGCCTACCAGGTAGTCCTATTAAGAGAGCAATGGTGGGTAGCTTAGTATTGTTTTAGGCCCATAGTTTCTATGGGCTAAAATGCAGTCAATTATGGTGGATTATGGCTGTTCCAACCCAAACACACCTAGAGAGTTACAGTTGTCAACCAATGATATATAGGCAAAACACCTTATGTTAATTTGTAGCTCTGCTAAGAGGTTTCTATGGACATTATATTCTGAGAAATTGAGATAACCCATTAAATGTCACAGTGCTACTTGTTACTTCTAGGAGAGTAGTGACTATCCATGTTGCATTGCATAAGAGTGCAGATATAGGATTGCTCATTATTTTGCACATCATTTTGTGGAATAATTGAAGGGTTGGCAGTCCTTTTTGATCTTTGAGATGGTGTGGAGGAATTAATTTAAAAGTATTGATGTGTTAATGGTGAAAATCACAACTGACACTCAAATGACAGAAATGAGTATTAAGACTGAATTATTTTCATGAAACAGCACAAATGGATAGCTTAAAATTGAAAATAGAATTTTCAGCCGCTATTGAAAATACACAAAGTATAGCTCTCATATAATTATCTTATTTGTTAATCTAGTGGCTGGGATGCTTAAATAGAAAATGCAAATGTATATTAATATGATGAATCCTTGTTTTATATATGATAAACAGTGTTATGAGAACTGGCCATAGTTGGATAACTGGCTTCATAAAATATTTCATAAAATAACTTCTTCAGTATTCTGCCTTGGGGAACAAAATACCATGACAAACTTAAATATGGGGGACCATGAACAAGATGGAAGTGGTATTTCCAGCTGTGCCTCAGGCAGCAAAATGCCTTGGTTTACTCTGTGATTCTCCAGAGTGAGTGGATGTGCATTTTGGAACTATTTGTTCTGATGTGCTACCGTGATAAGAAATATGAATGATTGCTTTTTCCAGCTAATGCATTCTTGTTCACTAATTCCGACTTGCCATTTCCTCCAGCATTATCAGAGTGGACCTACCTTGAAACCAACACTAATTGATGAATTGTTGAAAAGGAAAATAATTAATCATTCTTCTTCTTTTAAAAAGGTAGGTTTGACAGTTAGACCAATCAACGTTGCCTTTCTGATTAACACCAACATGTTCTTATCTTTCATGCTGATTATTTCAGGGCACTGGAACCTAGCAAACAAAATAGCTATCCAAAACAAAACAAAGTGTGTGTGTGTGTGTGTGGGGGGGGGGGGGACCAACAAAAATCTAAATCCAACCTATGAATGTTTTTGTTTAATCTTAGTTGCGTGTTGGAGGATGTGGGATTTTGAATTTGACAAATTATTTAGCGTCCCAAACTGCGTCCCGTATGCACTTCTATGTCTGGAATCTGGCCAATACTTTTAGAGGCCACTATCTAGCTAAACATCATTAAATTTTGGCTATATATTCACTACCAAAGCTCCAGCAACTCTCTGACTCAACTCACCTTGAGCTAACTCCATCACTCAAAATGGTGCACAACAGTCCTAGAAAAGATCAGGCAATTGGGCTATGATAGTGACTTCTTGAACTTGCTAACTTTCACTGAGATCTCTACCCTCATTAAAAAAGGTTTCTAGAAAGGGATAATAATAATAATAATAATAATAATAATAATAATAATAATAATACTTTATTTATACCCCGCCACCATCTCCCCAAGGGGACTCGGGCAGCTTACATGAGGCCAAGCCCAACAACACATCAATAAAACAACAACAACAAGGCAGCAGCAAATAAAACAGTACAATTAATATAACTCACATAAAAGCAATAACACACAAAAAAAATTAAAACCTTATGGCTGGGCCAGATGTAATAAATTAAAATTTAAAAATAAACACTGAGCGCGAACAGAAGTAGAATGTATCTAAGCAGGAGGGTTTTAAGGATTATAACCAATTGCTGAGCTTGGCCAACAAATCCTGGTCGTCTCTGAACATGGCAATCCCATTTATAGAGGGAAACCCAGCATTTTATACAGCAGCGCTCACTAACCGCTGATACAGGAGAGCCTACATGCTGGCTCGACTTAATATTATCCCATCTCCACTCCATAGAGGAAGACTCAATGGTCTACCGAGCGACAAGAGGCTTTGCCCCTGTAGCACAGGACAGCTGGACTCCATCCCGCATATTCTTCTGCACTGCCCACTCTACCAGGAATTAAGATCTCACTTGCTACTATAAGTTATTGAGTCTATGAAAAACCATACAGACTCAAACAAAGTAATCATGATTTAAACTGCCAAGAATTTAACCATTGCCTTTCAGAGGCAAGATTCCTGAACAAAGTCTGTAAACTGAATATGTAGCAAATGTGAAGTAATTTATACTGTATTTTATACTGTTTTGCTATATATATGCCAATAAAGATTTACTGGATTGGAATGTGACATATATGTGTGTATGTGTATGTATATGTATGTGTATGTGTATGTATGTGTAAGTATGCGTGTGTGTGTATAAGCCTTATGTTTGGAGAACCTATTTCCAAAGTCAAAATAGGTGTTAAATAGGTGTTGATCCAGAAAACCAAAGCTACCTGTTATGAAGAGCATGTAGTAATACGTTATCCCTGTTTTTGGGTATATTTCACCTGCTGATTCTATAAATGGCACCAGTTTCCCCCTATCAGATCTAGTTTCTGAGATATAGAATGTATACCATTATATTTCTGACATATAGAAAACAATAATAACCATACCCAAGAAGCTAGAACTGATGTAGTCTATCCAATGCAATTTTCTGAATCAGCACCCCAAATAACCCGAGGAACAGGCCTAAGACAAGACTTTTTTTCCTGTGTTATAAAATTTTGGGGCAGGTGTATGCTTGTTTAGACACACTACAGAACCTAAGAGCTATCTAGTTCTACGCTTATCTTTTCTACCTGAGATATCTTCTGTATTCTTTAAAATTCAAAGCTGAAATATCGTTTTGAATTTTTTAATGTATAAATTCTTGTTTGGTTCATCTTCTTCTCCTACATAACACCAACTTTATTCAAGTGTGTTTGTGCAAAGATATATTAGATGGATTTATCATGTCAAAGCAATTGCAGGAGGGGGGAAAACTTGTAATTTCCTCCCATTTTATGCCAATCAGGTCCATGGAGGAGTGGACACATTCATGTGTGTGTACGAATACCGGGAAAGTGATGCCCCAGTGGTCTTCCCATCCTCATCCTCTGCCATCTCCGCTCTAACCACTGGACGGTTTTGCTTGGCGCAGCAAGTGAAAGTTGCCAGAAAACCCATGCGGAAGCGTTTGTTCATGAAGCAGTAGATAATGGGGTTCACACAGGCAGAAGTATAGGAGAGCAAATGGATGAAAGAGATGGGCGCTCCTGTAAGAAGCAGCTGTGCTGATTCCTTGTCAAAGGCACGCCAGGTATTGACACTGAAAATGGGAGTCCAGCATATGAAGAACAAGATCACAATCACAATCAGCATGCGGATGACCAGCTTCTTGGCCATCAAGTTAGCAGTGGAGCAGCTGCTCCTAGGGCGCTCTGTTTTGGTGCTGCAGCTATTTACCGAAAGCTGTCGAAGCGGCACCTTCTTCTTCTTGTTTTTCTGCACATAGCATCCATCACTGTCTTCATATTTGGTACTGGTGGTGCTTGTCTTCCTCTCTGTAGATACAGAACAGCAGTGCTTGAACAAAACTTTTCCAGCCTGAGAATGATGTAGCATGATACAAATCTCAGCACAAAGTTGGTAAAAAGTTTACATTGATATGGGTAAAAATATAAATTGACCACTCGTCTGTGGGAACAGATTACAGCATTGTTTCTCAAACATCTGATGACTAAAGCTTCTTAATTGACAGGTCACTGAACAGTGATGGAGAATATGCAGAAGGCAGAATCCATGCTCTCTGGAATAACATCTGGCTCCTCTGGCAGCAATTTTTGGCACTCTAAAACAGACCGTGGCCCAGAAATTCAGCAACTGTGTAGCAACTAGAAAATTTCAGGACTGAAGGAAACCCTGTAAACACATTTTCTATAGTACCTGCCCTTCCACCAACTTAATAGTACAATATAAGCTGGCTCAAGGGTATAGAAGAGCTGGTTTGTATTAGTTGGGAGCAATGAATTTAGCTCTCATTTTTATCTTCCACTTATTGGACACTACTAACTTCCTGAAAACTGAATTAATCAGACACGTAGTATAAAAGATCTGCTGATTGTACACACCTTTAAATACAAGGTCATTTCCCAAAAGGAAGTCCTATCACAAAGTCTATAGGGCTTCAATAAGGTAACTTATCTGAAGCATAAATTCATCTTGGCTTTGAGAGAATGAGTTCCTATAAAGCTCTAATGTCATCTGCTATGTCTTTGCAATGCATCCAGTGTTTATTCCCATCTTCAAAAACAGGATTTGTATTTCCTCAGAAATAAGCCATTAATCAAACTCCAGTAATCTTAGTTCTGGTGCTCTGAAGTGTGAAAAAGCTACTCAATTTAATGTAAAAAAAAGTCTGGTGTATACTATTGGTGTAAGTGATGTTATGGACTTTTTGGAGAGAATTTTTGTTGCATGTATTACGTAAATTATGGCAAAGTATGGTCATGTATCATAGATGTAACAAGCTAAGTATTTGTTGGAAGAAGGAGAAAGTATGGAATGATAGGAGTGACTGGTGATTGGCTGAGCTGATTTTTTAAATAATAATAATAATAATAATAATAATAATAATAATAATAAATACTTTATTTATATACTGCTCCATCTCCCTGAGGAGACTCAGAGCAGTTCCCAGGTAACATCACAAAACATACAAAGTAAAAAACAACATAACCATAAGATTAACAAAACAAAATATAAACATAAAAATTGTCGCCATAACACACTTATTAAAAGAATCCTGCCTGTTCAAGGCAATTAAAAAATTAAAAAAGGCCGGGCCAAGATTTGTGCATGCCTAAAAATTCTAGGGGGCCTGGGAATTAAGTGCAATGCTATGGCAGGCAACAATAATATTAGGTACGGGTCTGTGGCTGTTCATTCCAAGGCTGATTAGAGGAAATCATCTGGGTAATTGCTAGAAAGAATAAGGCCATATTTGACAATGTGTGGGGCTGAGTTAGAACAGGTCATTTTCAAAGGCTTGTTGAAACTACCAAGTCTTCAAATTCTTACAAAACGAGGGAAGGGATGGGGCCTGTCTTATTTCCCTTGGAAGGGCATTCAGAGGCAGGGTGGGGGGGGCACCACTGAGAAGGCCCTCTTTCTCGTCCCCACCAACCGCATTTGAGACGGGAGAGCGAACGAGAGGAGGGCCTCCCCGGAACATTAAAAAAGCAGATGTGTATGGCATTTAGTCAGAGTGTGGCTATAAAAGGTGGCAATATTAGAAAATATTGTGAAATTATGGCATGATAAAAGCATCTTTGGATGGAGTTTTCTGCACAACATTGTGTCTGTTCTGCAGTTGCTTGAATTGTGATTGGATCATCTCTTTTCGTTGATAGCATAAACCCATAAATGAATATTGCCGTTGTGCCATAACACCTCCTTGTGTGATTATCTCTTTCTGCTTCAGTCCTAGGCCCCTTCTACACTACCCTTATATCCCAGGATCTGATCCCAGGTTATCTGCTTTGAATTAGACTCTATGAGTCTCCACTGTCAGATAATTTTGGATAAAGAGATAATCTGGATCAGATCCTGGGATATAGGGCAGTGTAGAAGGGGCCCTAATATTGTGAAGCAGAAGAAAGCCTTGCTAGAATGCCAAAACTGCACATCTTCACAGTTGCAGAAAAAGGGGAGGAGGCACAGTGCACATGTTTTGGATAGAACAAACAGGGGTAGTGGAATACTGATCATGGAAATTTGCATGAATAAAGTGCCAGCATCGTACAATTGCACGGAGGTATGTAAGAGCTCTTTCCAATAATGGGTTGTTTCCATTTAAATAAATAACCCAATTGTGATAAGACAACAAGCTGGTTTGGTAAAGTCCTCAGTCAGGAACAGAGACAGAGATGAATTAGAGCCAGGATCAGAGCTAGATAGAAGATGAGTGAAAAAAAAAGCAAAATATGTGAATGATGAAGTTTGGAGTATGAGTGAAAGATACGAGGTAGAGTGAATATCAATCGGGATTCAGCTGTATTAAGTAGGTAATTTGGGATGTGTTGTTCAATTTCTGTTTAATAAATCATTTTGTATTATATATTTGAACCTCCCAGAATACTACATAAACAATCCCCTCCCCAATTTAGCAATGACTATTGAAACACTTTTTTGTTTATCGCACACCCCTAGTAACTTTGTGAGCGTGGGCAGTAGCAAAAAGACCACCAGTACAGTGACTACGAGAGCAGTCATAGGAGAAATAGAGACTGTGGAACTGGTGGGGTTTTTTTTTCTGCCTTACTTTGCTACCACTGCATGACCTGGAAAATGTGCATCTGCTGAGATAGTGCACCATCAAGACATGTGCTAAGAAAGTTAAATCTTCTCTTTGAGATGTAGAAGCCAAGATTGAATGGGATGCTTTTTTATTCAATACTGAAGGAATTGGGACTTCAATCTTTTCCCCTATAGACTCCAGTTGCACCAGATTCATTCTTCAATGGTTTATTTGTTATTGTTTTTTTAAGAGTACAGGAGAGAGGGAAGGGGCTGCTATTTCAGACAGAGGCAGTGCTATCCAGTGGATGTACATTAGATTCTGGTCAAAATATTATCAAGGTATCTCAATGTCTTTGAATGAGACTAAATGTTACTTAAGGGGAATAACCTGTTCCAATTTAATGCTTTCCTTAAATTAAGGTGTTCCCAACTCAGGGCGGTGCAACATGAATGCTAATGTTAAAATGGTTGTGGCAAATGAGAATTAATAGACAAGAAGGGATGCTTAACTCTTCTTAGTTTGTGCATTCTCCCTGTATAAGATTTTTAACAGTTACCTATCCCACAATCCAAGTGGACGATAGGCTGGATGAAGAGAAAGGAGATTCAAGAGGATATATTTATTGAATAGAATAGGAGAAAAGGAAATAATAAATTTTTCATCCCACAGACCAAACTGCTCCTGTAAGAATCCCCTGTGTGTTCCCATGCAGTTGGGAGTAAGTTGCTGTGGTTTAGGACAAGTCTACACTGGTAATACAAACTGGGTTTAGAAAAGGCAGAGGAATGAGAGACCAAATTGCCAATATCTGCTGGATAATGGAGGAAGGCAGGGAGTTTCAGAAAAAAAACATCTATTTCTGTTTTATCGACTATTCTAAAGCCTTTGACTGTGTGGATCATTACAAATTGTGGCAAGTTATTGGTGATATGGGGCTACCAAGCCACTTTGGATGTCTCCTGAGGAATCTATATAGCGATTAAGTAGCAACAGTAAGAACAGATCACGGAACAATAGACTGGTTCAAGATTGGGAAAGGAGTATGGCAGGGCTGTATACTCTCACCCTACCTATTCAACTTGTATGCTGAACACATCATGCAATGTGTGGGGCTTGAGGAATGCAAGGCTGGGGTGAAAATTGCTGGAAGAAACATTAACAACCTTAGATATGCAGATGATACAACTTTGATGGCTGAAAGCGAGGAGGAGCTGAGGAACCTTATAACAAGGGTGAAAGAAGAAAGTGCAAAAGCTGGGTTGCAGTTAAACAAACAAACAAACCAAGATGATGGCAACCAGACTGATTGATAACTGGCAAATAGAGGGATAAAATGTGGAGACAGTGACAGACTTGGTATTTCTAGGCGTGAAGATTACTGCAGATATGGACTATAGCCAGGAAATCAGAAGATGTTTACTAAGTGGGAGGATAGCAATGACAAATCTTGAAAAAAAGTGAAGAGTAGAGACAACACACTGGCAGCGAAGGTCCACATAGTTAAAGCAATGGTATTCCTTGTAGTAACCTACGGATGCGAGAGCTGGACCATAGGGAAGGCTGAGTGAAGGAGGATATACACTTATGAATTGTGGTGCTGGAGGAAAATTTTGAGAGTGCCTTGGACCACAAGAAGACCACAGCAGTCCATACTCCAGGAAATAATGCCCAACTACTCACTGGAGGGAAGGATATTAGAGGCAAAAATGAAATACTTTGGCCACATAATGAGAAGATAGGAAAGTTTGGAGAAGATGCTGGGGAAAATGGAAGGAAAAAGGAAGAGGGGCCGACCAAGGGCAAGATGGATGTTATCCTTGAAGTGACTGGCTTGACCTTGAAAGAGCTGGGGGTGGCAATGGCTGACAGGGAGCTCTAGTGTGGGCTGGTCCATGAGGTCACGAAGAGTTGGGAGCAACTGAACAAATAAACAACAACAAAAAATCTCAATGTCTTTGAATGAGACTAAATGTTCCTTAAGGGGAATAACCTGTTCCGATTTAATGCTTCCCTTAAATTAAAGTTACTGTTAAGCTGTTCCCAACTCAGTACAGTACAACATGAATGGTAATGTTAAAAAGGTCATGGCAAATGAGAATTAGTAGGCAAGAAGAGATGCTCAACTCTTCTTAGTTTGTACATTCTCCCCTGTATATGATTTTTAACTATTTCCTATCCCACAATCAAAGTGAACGATAGGATGGATGAGGAGAAAGGAGATTCGGGAGTCTATTTATTGAATAGACTCAGAGGAAATTGAGCAGCCCCAGACCAAACTACTCCTGTAAGGATCTCCTGTGTGTTCCCATGACTGCAGTTGGGAGTAAGTTGCTATGGTTTAGGACAGTGGTTCTCAACCTGTGGGTCCCCAGATGTTTGGCCTTCAACTCCCAGAAGTCCTAACAGCTGGTAAACTGGCTGGGATTTCTGGGAGTTGTAGGCCAAAACACCTGGGGACCCACAGTTGAAAACCACTGGTTTAGGACAAGTCTACACCAGTAGTAAATGGTCCAAATCAGACCTGATCCAGCTGTCCACACAGCCCTGAAGCTGTGGGATGCTCCAGGGTTTCCAAAGCAAACTTTGGAACATCTCCAGACTTTACCTGAAGTGGGGCAAAGTTGGTTTAATCTAGCACAGCGTTAATCATCTTGGGGTTCGGGACCCCTGGAGGGGTCGCTAGGGAGTGTCAGAGGGGTCGCCACAGACCATGAGGATTCTGTGTGGGAAGTTTGGCCCAATTCTATCTTTGGTGTGGTTCAGAATGCTCTTTGATTGTAGGTGAACTATAAATCCCAGCAACCACAACTCCCAAATGTCAAGGTTTATTTCCCCCAAACTCCACCAGTGTTCACATTTGGGCATATTAAGTACTCATGCCAAGTTTGTCCAGATCCATCATTGTTTGAGTCCACAGTGCTCTCTGGATATAGGTGAACTACAACTCCAAAATTCAAGGTCAATGCTCACCAAATCCAGTATTTTTTGTTAGTCATGGGAGTTCTGTGTGTCAAGTTTGGTTCAAGTCCATCATTGGTGGAGTTCAGAATGCTCTCTGATTGTACATGAACTATAAATCCCAGCAATTACAACTCCCAAATGACAAAATCAATCCTCCCAACCACACCAGTATTCAGATTTGGGTGTATTGGTTATTTGTGCCAAATTTGATCCAGTGAATGAAAATACATCCTGCCTATCAGATATTTACATTACTTCGGCCCTCCAGGTTTTTTGGACTTCAACTCTCACAATTCCTAACAGCCTATATCTCGTATACACCCTGCATATCTTATATTTACATTTACATTATGATTCATAACAGTAGCAAAATTACAGTTATGAAGTAGCAACAGAAATAATTTTATGGTTGGGGGTCTCCACAACATGAGAAACTGTATTATGGGGTCACGGCACTAGGAAGGTTGAGAAACACTGATCAAGCATAACCCACAATCCACTGGAAGTAATAGGACATTGTGAAAACAGCCAGGGGCTAATTCAGAGTGAGTCCCAGGTTTTTCATGCCTGTGTTAAACTCACCCTTGGGAAAATGGGATGTCATTTATTAGGCTTTAAAAGAAAACATAATACTTTATGTTGTGGTTAATTACTTTCCCTCATATAGACGAAATTAGAACATTCTGTTTATAAATCATAGGCAGGCTGGGAAAGAAAGGCAGCTAATTGGCTTTCAATTGTTACTTCTCCTCATCTTTGCATGCAGTGCTAATTTCTTCTTTGAGATGTGCTTGTCTTTATGACAATTTAATAAAAAAACTCATGACCACCCAGTTTGTAAAAATAATGGCAACAATGGTAACAGTTATTATCCCAAAAATGATTATTAATGAGGACGCATTTGCACAATGATTCCAGGATCTTTCAGATTGGCCTTGTCTGATGTAGCCTTTTAGTGAGATAGCGTATGCCGATCACGTTTCCACATCCGAAGCCATTCTGAGTGGGACAAAAAAAGCAAAAGGGGCTCAATCATAAAGATTACCTCGTGAAGACTTTCTCTGGCTGACATCGAATTTGATTCCTCTGTACAGCTCCAAGGAGATTAAGCCATACGCAATCATCATTACAATCCCCGGGATAAGGAAAAGAATGAGCAGCTGGAAGATGTACCTGCAGAAGCCAGAAGCAAGATTTAGACCAGAAGAGAAGGTGTGAGATGGATTCTTATCAGCCTCTCACTGAGCAAATTGACTCCTTTCATTCCCTTGGTATGATCCCCCCCTCCCATGTGTGCACTGATTATAGTTCAAGAGTGTAAGGGGATGAGACTAGAAAGTACCACATATCAAATCTTAGGCAGGATATATTACAAGGTATTACTCTGTGTTGGTAGACTAGATTGTTCTAGTCCAAATCAATGACTTTCCTAAGCTCTGGCTATACTTAGGAAATATAAGAGGCAAGCAAAAACTTGATAAAGGAAACTGGAGTGTCTGGGATATGTGTGTGCTTCATTTTCAAACAATTTTAAAGCAATGTAGATCATCTTTCTGGAGCCCCCGGTGGTGCAGTGGGTTAAAGCACTGAGCTGCTGAACTTGTTGACCGAAAGGTCGCAGGTTCGAATCCGGAGAGCAGGGTGAGCCCCTGCTTCTGCCAAACTAGCAGTTTGAAAACATGCAAATATGAGAAGATCAAGAGGTACCGCTCCGGCGGGAAGGTAACGGTGCTCCATGCAGTCATGCCGGCCACATGACCTTGGAGGTGTCTACAGATAACGCTGGCTCTTCAGCTTAGAAATGGAGATGAGCACCAACCCCCAGAGTCGGACATAACTGGACTTAATGTCAGGAGAAAACCATTACCTTTACCTAGATAATCTTTCAAAGCTCCCATGTAATGTTTGACTTCCAAAACAAATACTCCTTTTGGAGCTGGAACCGACTGGCTGTCCGACTCTAATATCACCAACTCTTGCTGGGAAAAAAAGGGGGTGGCAAATTAAAAATTAAACACAAAAACCCCTATTTGTTCTTACCAAGATCTCTGCATTGTCTCATTCTGCCAATTGAAGCGACACATGTTGACTGTGCGGTTGTGTTTTGGGAATGACACCAGATTGCTGTAAACTGGGTATGGTGTCATGATGGCAAAGGAGGCGCACCAGGTCAAAGCGATCACCTTCAAGGCATGCGATTTGGTCTGCCAAACCCGAGATTGTAGTGGTTTGCAAATAGCACTGTATCTTTCCAAAGATATTGCAACTAAGCTGAATGTCGAAACGCTGACAGAGACTCCTGCACAAGGGGAAAAGGAGAGAAAAAAGTATAAATGTTTATCTCTAGGTTCAGACTACTGCTGTTTCTTTACCGACTGACAAAATGAAATAGGAAAATCAGCCTATTTAGCTTGCAAATGCTGATTTGTTATCAGTAAATGTTTGGTTTATATATCTATTTTATGTACTTGTATTTTCTGGTCACATAAAAAAATTCCGGCCAAAATGTGTCCTGAGTGGAAACATTTAAGAAGCCCTGATCTAGCTGATTTAGCAGCTGCCTCCTGAATCTGTTACTGAGCATGTATAAAAAACTTAATATACATTAATAATTATTTTAAAAACACACACAAAGGAAAGAGTGGAAAAACCAGCTACATCTAGTATTTTTCCCATTTGGGACACTAAAATAAAAAGCACCTGCTGTGTTAAAGGGCCAGGCTTTAGCACAGCAGGTTAATTGCCAGCTGCAGTAAATCTTGCCAACTGAAAGGTTGACAGTTCGAAGCCTGGATCAGGGTGAGCTCCTGACCTTTAGCCCAGCTTCTGCCTACCTAGCAGTTTTGAAAACAGCAATGTGAATAGATAAATAGATACTGCTTAAACAGGGGGGGGGGGTATTTAAGGCACCCATAAGGAAATGCCAGAAAATTCCAACGATTTGATCAAGGAAGAAGTTTACGAACAAAAACTTTTCAGCAGGTAAGGTGGAGCGACAGCACTCTCATATCCGGAACTGAGCACAGCCTCCAAGATGCTGAAGATAGGAAAGCCTATATATACATTTAACTATGTACAGTTGTCTGTATTGTCTGAGTCCCCTTTGTGGACCCTGGGGTGCATCTACACTGTAGAATTAATGCAGTTTTGCACCACTTTAACTGCCTTGGCCAAATGCTATAGAATCATGGGTGTTGTAGTTTTACAAGGTCTTTAAATACTCTAAATACTTAAACAGTACCTATTTATCTACTCACATTGCTTTTTTTTAAAAAAACTGTTAGATAGGCAGAAAAGCCGGGCTTTAGCATAGCTGGTAAATCACCAGCAATGATAAGATCTACCAACCGAAAGGTTGCCAGTTGAAAGCCCCAGGTTGGTGTGAGCTCCCGACTGTCAGCCCAGTTTACTGTTTACCTAAGCAGTTCAAAAACAGCATGAGCTATAAGTAGAGAAATTAGGTACTGCTAAATGAAGCAGGGGAAGTATTTTACGACACCATAAAGAAAAAGGTCAGAAAATGCCTGGTGACCAAAAAGAAGGAGGAAGTCCTGATGGCTCTTCGTCATAGAGGATGGAGCATCAGCAACCCCCAGTGGCTGGATTCAAGCACAATTCTCAAGGCGCCAAAAAGCTGGACCTCAACACAACATACCTCCTTTTTGTTCTGTCTGTCTCTGTCCTATCTATCCAAAATGGCATTGAATGTTTGCCATGTATGTGTACTGTGATCTGTCCCGAGTCTCCTTGCAGAGATAGGGCAGAATATAAATAAAGTCTTCTTCTTCTTCCTCCGCCTCTGCCTCCTCCTCCTCTGCTTGTTATTTAACCTTCTCTGCTATTGAATGCTGGAGCCTCACCAAGCTACTAATCCCAGGATTCCATAGCATCCATGTTAGTTAAAGTAGGGTCAGGTTGGCCTTGATTCTACAATGTAGATTCAACCCTGGCTCACTTTTTTTGTCAATATGATGTGAGATTACACAGACCTATCCCAGGTGTCACCCATCCTGTAGGTCCTTTTCTTTTCTTTTTCTTCCCTTGCCTAAATGTAAAACTTTACTTTTATCTCTGTTTAAATTTATTTTGTTGAGATTTTGCAAAATCAGATTCTGATTTCTGTGACAGGATCTACACTGCCATATAATCCAATTCAAATTAGATAATCTGGGATCATATACTGGATTATATGGCCTGTGATATTAATGTTCACTCTTTCAACAGTCATATGTCTGTCTATCTGTCTCCATCTTTCTTTCTTTCTTTCTTTCTTTCTTTCTTTCTTTCTTTCTTTCTTTCTTTCTTTCTTTCTTTCATTTCTCCATTTTAACAAGGCATTTAATGTGCTTTTCAATGATCTATATACATATAACTGATCCAGCAGATTGCAATGTCTCATTCTAGAAGTCTTGTCATTTATAAAATATATTACTAGTTCGAAATATGTTGGGTTAACTGGAATAATAAAATCATCCAGAGACTTTGTGTCTTCACTACATCCATGTGGGATACAACTCCACTGGTCATTTCTGTCCAGGATGATGAATAACTGTGGGTGAATACCTTTTTCATTCAGTCATCAATCATCTACAAATCTATCTAAGACCAGCATCACCGAGCTTACATAGCAGTCCACGTAGAAAGTGCAAAATCGGAATGTGCATGCTTCAAAGCACAATGCCCCCAAATGTGTGTTGTTGAGGAACAAAGAGCTTTTGCCTTAAGTCCAGTTTCTGCACTTCTGGAAGCATTTTTCTTTGCCACTGTGAGAAAGAGGATAGTAGACTAGATGGTTTCAGGGTCATGTTCTTACTAAGCTGTGGAAATTTAAAATTGCCCATGCATTTTATACACCTCAATGGACAGTAAAACTTTAGTACCAAGGAGCTTGACTGCTGCCCACCACAATAAGCATCAAATGAAGGAGAAAATCAATATCTTTTGCAACAAGGGCAAGTACCCAGCTGCAAATTCAACCACTAATCTTTCAGCTAAGAAAATTATTCTGCTAAATAACTATAAGTCAAGAAAAATAAAGGGACAACAGGATATAGAGCAGACATTTGGAATGTATAATAATCCTATTAAAGGCTATAGCCTGTTTCCTACTACTGGAAGCTTATAATCTGCAAAACCACAAAAGGTGGAATCTTTAGTTAACTACTAAGGCTGTGCGATTGATGAAAAAAATGTTTCAAAACTCATTACAAAATTAGGGGGCACTGGCGTTTTATTTCTAAAGTGTTTCTAAAGTATCATTAGTGAAAATGTCATTGCTATAATGAGAGTAGGGTCCCCTGGTGGCACAGCAGGTTAAACCTCTGTGCTGCTGAACTTGCTAACCGAAAGTTTGGTGGTTCGAATTCAGGGAGTGGGGTGAGCTCCCGCTGTTAGGCCCAGATTCTGCTAACCTAGCACTTTGAAAACATGCACACGTGAGTAGATATATAGGTACCACTTCTGCTGAAAGGTAATGGTGCTCCAAGCAGTCATGCTGGCCACATGACCTTGGAGGTGTCTATGGACAATGGCTTAGAAATGGAGATGAGCATCACACCCCAGAGTCAGACATGACTAGACTTAATGACAGGGGAAACCTTTACTTTTATCTATAACGAGAGTAACAATATTTTATTACCTTTTCGTTATAGTAATTGCGCAAGTGGGGAAATTTCAGGGGTTACTTTCTATGACATTTTTACAGCTATTGGGGTGAAACTTGCTACAATGGTAGAATACATTTACCACTGTTAGCTCATCAAGTTTCGAAACATATTTACAGATTTTGGGGGAATTTTCAAAGCTTTTATAAACAACATTTTAAAAAAAAACCCACAAGAGCTATCTTCTTAAATTTTCTATATAATGACACAAGATAACAGGGGATCATTCTCCCCAAGTTTCAGAAATATTTAAACATCTACTGATTTTTATTAAACAGCTATCTCATTGAATGTCTTTCATATTAAACAATTGAACTTTAATTTATGGATTTCTTTCCATCCCAGCACAGAGATTTACTTATTAGAAGTGTAAGTTAATTTCCCACAGATTCAACTCTTTATTGGAACTCTGGCTGGCTGCTAGTATGGAGGGAAAATAGCTCTCCCCCATCCTGATTGGGGCTTTCTGGTGCTGAGTGGAATTCTGGGCCTTTTGAATTCTCTGACAAAGGGCTTTTGGCCTTCCCAAACTACATTTCCCAAAATTCTGTGCTTTCTCAGTCTCTTTCCCAGCAAACTCTGCTTTCTCTTTGCTGATTCCCTCTCCTAATGGTGAGGAGCCATTAATTTAAAGAGGAATGGCAGCCTTTTTGGCTTTGCTTTTATTGCTTGTGTTGAAAATAAATCCGACTTTAGGAGGCTTCTGATGTTAACAAAATTCAAACGAAAAAGTATTTGGAAAGTTTTGATTTTTAAGTTTTTGATGCAGGCCATGCCCATGTGCCAGATATTGTGTTGTAAGTATGAATTTAATGAATTTTATCTGACGAATAATGACTAATGAAAAATGGCACACCCCTGTTTGCTACTTGTACCCCTCTTATGTTTTAGTGCTTTTATTATTAAAGAAATCTGCATTAAAAAGTAGAATTAGTGCCCTAAAATTTGGAAATTTCTTATCTCCAAAGGATTCAAAAAGTCATTTAATTCCATAACAGTAATGAAAGAATATACCGAACCAGTATTTCTCATTTCTCAATGTAATGTAACATTACATTCTGGTAATGTTGCATTACACAAAAAGTAACATTACCAGAATGTACAGTGCCTTGCTGTGTTTACCCCATTTGATTTTTCTTGTGGATGGTTGTGTTAGGACCTCGAACTAAAATGGATTGAACTGAGGTTATTACTATTTGATGGATGCAAGATATCAACACAGAAACAGTGCAAAACATTTTTATTGTTTCCTAAAAGTAAACTATACAAAAGAAAGCTAGCACTTGTGTGCTGTTGGTGCTGGAGCTGTATTGAGACAGCCCTATGCTCACTCTGGTCATAATAATAATCTTTATTTATACCCCGCCACCATCTCCCCAAAGGGGACTCAGGACGGCTTACATGAGGTCAAACTCAACAGTACATTACAACAAAATAAAACCAGAACAACAACACAAACATCACAATTAACTAAATAAAAACATAAGAATACAATAAAACAGTACAATATAATACAGTGCAGAATCAATCCCAAAGGGTGGGCCACATGTGCAGATAAAATGATAAAATTCAGGATGTGATAGAGATGAAAAATAAATATTTGTATTGGAGAAACTCATAGGAGATGGAGTAGTGG